GTATGACCTTCTCGACCGGTCAGCAGACCGGTTTAGCCTTGTGTGTATAATATCCTATATCAAATATTTTCTCTATCCTCATCCGCCGCCCATTCTCTCGATGTCCCTTCTCCAAAATTAGGTAGATGAGAAGTCGACGTACCCTCGACATCAAACACTCCCCCGTAACAAGGAGTAACATCCTCAAACTGTGTAACAGGTGTATTTGCCTGCAACGATAAATGCTAATACACCATGACATACGAGGAAAGTAATATATCCATTCAAAACTATCGTTATTGAGTATTGCGGGATTCCACGAACCATCAGGTTGGCTAATCATCATAGTAATCTCCTGAATTGTCCAACCTTCTTCAAACTGACATTTTGCATTAATTATTTGTACCAACTGTTCATATGATATCCTCCCCGGAATAATAAATGAACCACTCGGACGATCTTTAAATGAAACAAATCGCTTAACATTTTCTTCCCAAAATGCCAGTACAAATTAACAAGGTATGGACCGGAATAGGCCATTTTATACCTGTTGCAAAAAAACACTTTCAATTCTTTTTCCAAAAAAACTCAATTTTTACTCCAACAAAAAAAAAAGTCCCAATCAAATAATCCTCCAAAACCTAATACTCATAATCGAACAATAACATAAAATTCATCTATAATTCGGATAAATTGAAAGCCCTAATTCTAATTCCAAAAACCCTAACCCCAACAACAACCAAACAATACACAATTGACAATTTACACACAAAATTTCAATCCTCAATTCAACATACACACATAATCGATAATCAATTAGCAATTTTCAATCTTTAAATACCACCACATTCAAACATATTATAACAATTCCCAATCTCCAAACAACTTCAAATAATGTAAAAAGTAAAGATAAACCAATATACCTCGTGCGAATGAATTAACCGGAAATGAGGCTCGTGTCGGTGTTGTCGGTTCACGCCGGGATGAAGATTGGATCGATTTTTTTTTTCACGAATGAAATCGCTGCTTGTTCTTTTTTTTTTTGCTTGGTGGAGCCCTCTGTTCGTAAATGAAATGGAGAGGAAGGTATTTTTTTTTTAATATTTACTATAAAAAACGTATTCTGAGAATATGTTTACCGACAATTTAATTGTAAAACGTATTCTCAGAATACGTTTTATTTAAATATTATTTCCCTATTTTTTTTTTTATTAAAATATTTTTTCAAAATACGTTTTATAAAAATACATTTTATATGTTTTTTAATATTTGAATTATAGGGATTTTTTTTTTTAAATTACAAAAATAATTATAAAATGTATTCCCGAAATACGTTTTTTTGATTAATTTTTTCTTAAGGAAACGTATTCTGAGAATACGTCTGTTTTATTTTGGTCGACTCATTTTTTTTTGTCCAGTTAATTTTTTTAAATAAATAAACTACTCCATAAATAAAAGTTATATTAGTTAAAAAACAATAAATTAATTAAATTAAATCTAGTAAAATGTCTTTAATATAAAATGTCTTACTTAAATTACTTGACCGATTGAATTTAGGGCTGGGAATTAAATCAGAAATCACAAAGACATATCTGTCTTTCCCGTTGTCCTTCACCTTCGCCTCTTCTGTCACTCGTCGGAGTCGCTTCTCTCACTCGTTGGGAGTTGCGATAGGGCTGGTATGTTTTATATTTATGCTTCAAACTGATTTTTCTCATTCTTGTAATGTTTGTTTGGTTGAATTAGTTATTTTTTGTGTGTAGAAGATGTGATGTGAGGCAATTTATTAATGGTTATGCTTGAATTTTGATTCAGACCTTCATTTATGTTGAAGAATTATGTGATTGTTATTTGGATATGGTGTGTCTGCTGCTTTTTTTTCTCTGTATATGCCAAGAAGTCTGCTGCTGGTTTTTTTTTTCCTCTGCCAATGAACAGTAATTTTCATTTTTTCGGTTTTTATTGGTTTAAACCGAAACCGAACCGCCTTATCTGTAACCGATTTTCGGTTACCGACCTCTTATCGGTTCGGTTTCGGTTTTATGTTATCGGTTCAGTTACCGAACCGATACCAGCCTTAGATATCACCACATTAAATTCTGACATTTGTCGTTTCGAAAAAAAAAAAAAAAAACTGTGTACCATTCATTTTAGTTTTGCTATGAAGCCAACAGATGACTCCATAGTGGAGTCAACTTTCTATATACAACAAGTAAACCAACTGTTGGTTTCATAGCAATACTGCAATTCATATGAGTTTTGTATATAGAAGGTTGGTTCCACTATAAAGCCAACTAATGGCTTCATAGCAATACTGTCATTCATATATGTGCAAAAATCTTGTGTATTTGTTTTACTTTTGCTAATAATTTTTTACGTTAGTATTAGTATATATGTAACTAGTTATACATGTAATTAGTGTAGTTATTGTTTATAGTTTTCTCTTGTTTTGGGTGTAAGGTTTCGGGCTTAATATGCGGCCCGATTTTGAGCCCAAGTGAGCGCCACCTTTACATTCTTTTTATGATTTTCCAATTTTATGCAAAGAGCTCACTCTGTTACTTTCCTTTTTGTTTTTCTTTCGTTCTTTACAAAATCCGTGAGCATTCTCCACCTGGACGGCCGCCCGCTTCCCGGTAATACTTGATAAATTAATTGTCAAATTGTTCGCTATGAGTTGTAGAATTCAAATACCAAAACAATTTTAGGAACACAGTGTCGGAACTCGGAAGGACTCGATTGGGGGTCTTAGGGATACTGGAACTCTATTAAACTTGTGCAGCGTAAACGATCATGTTAGTTTTTGAGAATATGATTTAAATGTGATTTCTTAAATTTCTGTTGATGGATTTGGCCATCTGCTGTTTGACCCCTGCAATTTAGCTGTCTGTTTTTTAAGTCTTCTCGATACTTGTTGTTTAGTGCCTTGGATTTACATTGCTGCAAGAATCTACTAATTATCTTTCTTCCATTATGCGCTGTTTGCTTGTTCATGAGATGTTTACACCTTCTTAACATCCTTTCCTTCCTTCACTATTTTCATGAAAACATAGATATTTCGTTGGAGCTTTGTAGGAAAAATAATTATTTAAATACGTATGTTCCGGTAAAACTATTAACAAATTACGAACACTTCTGTCATTTTTTGCAGCAATAGGGCTACTGAGGCTTGTCCCATTTTCCTTCTATATCATGCTAGTTAGCGTTCGGAGTCTTTAGAAAAGTTGTAGTTTTATAACTTGTCTTCTCGTAATTTGAAAAATAGTCCAAAATCTATTTTCTAGTAAAAACTGTGTTCAACGTACAGTGACAACTCATAGGTGACTGTCCAAGTTTTGCAGTTGTATTGTTGTTCTGTTGGAGCTTATTTTCATTTGTTTAGCATGCTTTCTGTGTTTGTAATCTGCTTTAGTTCTGTAGCTTATCTTTTTGTTTCTTCAGGAATCATTTAGATATCTATTTTATGGTATAAGTCGTGGTGAAAATATGAATATGAACACTGTACAAATCAACCGTGTGGTTTGTCTGTTCTTTTAAAATTAAAGCGATGCCATTCGTTTGTGACATTTGGGTCCTCAAAATATATTGATATGTTGAGCTGAGCCTAAATATGACCCAGTAATTATTGTGACAATGCCACACTATATATTTAGGTGGGTAAAATATTTATTCTACCAAAAAAAAATATATATATATATAAATATATATATATATATATATATATATATATATATATATATAAACTCTTCTACAAGAACTACAAAATTATATAATGAAGCATGCATTTTAAATCCTCATTCTTCTGCTTGTGATATGTTTGGATTTCCGACTTTGCATTTTGTGTAAAGATTCAATCTTGGACTTGTTATATGAATTTTCTGGCTTGATATTTTGTGATCGTAAAGTACCAGTGAGTTTGAAAGGCAAGTTCTATCGAAGGGCCATTCAACTGACGATGCTTTATGGATTCGAGTGTTGGGCTACTAAATATGAAAATGATCAAAAAATGCGAGTGGTAGAGATGAGAATGTTGAGATGGATGTGTGGGCATACTAGGTTAGATAATATTAGAAATGAAAGGATTAGAAATAAAGTTGGAGTAGTGCCCATAGAGAAAATAAGAGAATCTCGATTAAGATGGTTTAGGCATGTGCGTAGGACAGACTTCGAGGCACCGATGAGAAGGTTAGAAATATTAGAATTCAGAACGCAAATTAAAAGGGGGAGGGGTAGACCGAAGAAAACTTGAAAAGAGACAATAAAAAATGATTTAAAATATTTAAATTTGAATGTGGATATGTGCTTTGATTGAGCAGGAGCAACATGTGATCCATATAGCCGACCCCACTACGTGGTATTTTAACGGCTTGTTGATTGTTTGATTGATATTTGATTTGCTCGAATATGCTTTGTATATGTTTTCGGCTTACGTAGAGTTTGATTTATAAACCGAGCAGGTTGGCCTGTATACCATAGTCTAGTCCTATATCTATTGGAGCCGTTGGCCAGAACGGGTCATAGTTTTTGGGCATATGTGGTCATAGTTTTTGGGTATATGCCGGAATGTGATGTCATTTGGGTTTTGGTTCTGGCCAAAGAGACGCCGAGCCTCTTGGGAGAAATAAGGTTGATATAAGGGCTTTGGCCTATCCTGGCGTGTCACCTCTTCCAGGAGTAGGATTGTACGCTCGGATGTCTAATCAACATTTGGTGATACGTTATATGAACTGAACAAGGAGTGCGGTGTAGTTTCACATTGGTCTAGGAACTAAGTGTTACGTGCGAGGGCCACTAATAGTGTCTTTAAAAGAACTAAGTGCTTCACACGAGAGCCACATTTAGAGTCCGTTCCAAATATATGTGCTTGTATTACGTGAATTTGGTTTTCGTGTTTGAACAATTTGATTATGGGATTTGTTATAGATTTGTGTGCATCTCACGTCATTTCATGTAACTCGTTTTGCACATCAAGGGGAGCAAGGCGCCTCGGTAATTGAATTCCTTTTCCTTTGCTTATCACGATGGACTCTAACGTTGGTGACTGCTCATTCCAAGTTTCTGCTGAGACCGAGAGGTTTTTATGCGGGCAATTGTTGGATCAGAATCAGCCAATCGCAGAGCGGTTCAGAGCCCTCTTCTCTCTCCGTAACCTCCGTGGTGCCGCTCCTAGAAATGCCCTTATACAAGGTGCTTTTTATATCTTGTTGACTGTATTATGTAAATCAATGAAAAAACATAAAAGAAACGATTCAGAATAGGTTCGTGGAAATTTTAGTGAACTTGAGGTATTTTTTTTTTTTTAATTCTTTTCTCCATTTTTTCATTCTTCTTATGTAGAACTGGGAAATTAGTGGAAATTTATTATCATTTTTGGATTTTGTTCCTCTATTGAAGGACTCAACATAGATTCTAATTCGGAAACATGTAAGAGTTACTTCTGCAGCTTTCATTTAGAAAGATTGACTAATCTGGAAATGGGAAAAGATGGCAAATATCCTGAAATCCCTTCTTTTAGTGGAACGTTTTAGTCCATTTAAGTTGTAATATATAATCTATGGTTTGCGGAAGCTTCCCTTGTTATTTTCTCATTGAAATGCAGTCACTATTCTGATCAACGTATTGATTTGATTGAAATGTTTTCCTCCTTTAGCAACCAGAGATAGTTCAAACCTGCTTGCCCACGAGGCAGCATTTGCTTTGGGGCAGATGCAAGATGTAGAAGCCATCCCTGCTTTAGAAGCTGTTCTGAATGACCTTTCATTGCACCCCATTGTTCGCCATGAGGTATACTAATGACTTCTGGATGTTCATCATGTTATTATTCCACGAACTTTAATTTTTTAAATTAAAGCTTTATGCTTCCATTTTATGTGAACACATATGACCAGGCAGCAGAAGCTCTTGGTGCAATCGGCTTAGACAGTAATGTTTCACTTCTTAAAAAGAGTTTGGCTTCTGACCCAGCTCAAGAAGTTCGAGAGACGTGTGAGCTAGCCTTAAGTCGGATTGAGAAAGTAAAGAACACATCCGTCTCTCAATCATCTCCTTTTTTATCAGTTGATCCCGCTGCTCCTGCTAATTGTTCTTCCATACGAGAGCTGAGGTTGTCATTTTGAACGTACACAATTGGTTCTTGGTTTACTGAGTTTAGCTTTGCATTGTTGCTTGATCCTATTTATTAACATTAATTTTCTTTCTTTTAGGGAAATTCTATTAGATGAAGGAAAGTGCATGTATGAGCGTTATGCAGCTCTTTTTGCTCTGAGGAACCTTGGGCAAGACGAAGCTGTTTCTGCTATTGTTGAGTCCCTAGGTGCAAATAGTGCTTTGCTACGACATGAGGTAATTTTTGTATTTAACACATTAAGTGTAATGAAGTCTGATAGTGAATAGCCAATTGTTCAAGTTAATTTGGTTGACTGGAATCCAGAGACGTAATGTCATTTGGCGTACATAATTCACATTTATGTGTTGATGAGCCAGTGGTGCTTCCTCTTACTAGACATTTTTGTTTACTTTGTGTGTTCTCACTGAAAAATGTTTACATTTATTTTGTATCCATTTGATGTCCGCACTTGTTGACATTTCGGTCTTGTTTAGTCAAATTGTCTTGCGTTAACTTAGTAGGGAAAAAGTACCTAACAAGAGACAGGCATTAAGGTGGAAACTCAGCATTAACTTCTTGATTCCACTCGGCCTTTATCATCATGTTTCTAAGCTTTTGATTATTATTATCTAGCTAGTTGTCCTGTGAAGTTAGAATAGGTCAGGCTGATAGTGAAAAGCATTCAGCAGATATTTTTGTTTTCTAATTGTTATCCGGCCTTTGTTAAACTTTTTTCTTTCACTAGTAACTTTTTTTTTTTTTTTTTGAGTGAGCTCAGGTTGCTTATGTTTTGGGCCAACTGCAGAACAAGAAAGCTTCAGATGCACTTTCTCAGGTTCTTAGAGATGTAAACGAACATCCTATGGTTAGACATGAAGCAGCTGAGGCTCTTGGCTCTATTGCAGGTCATACCGTTTTCCATTAATTTACCCGAAGTTTAAATTCGTTCATGATCCGCCTGGAAATATGTTTACGGCTAATGTGGGACTATTAATTAAAACTTTGACTTGCATGAATTTGTTTTATATAGACGATCATTGTGTTTCTTTGCTTGAGGAATTCGCCAAGGATGCCGAGCCTATTGTGTCACAGAGCTGTGAAGTTGCGCTCAGCATGCTGAATTTCGAGAGATCAGGAAAATCATTTGAGGTAATTGAAAACAGTGGGGCAATGATTTGTTTTTGGGTACATTTTTGTTCATGAAAATATTCCTTAATGGGTGGTGGCTAAGATCATCTATTCTCTCTCCCAGTACCTTTTTATGCAGGCGCCTCAAGTTGAGCAAGCGTCGTGTTAAGTGAGATTGTCGTTTAATGAACTATTTTTGTCGTGTCTACTGGTTTGGAAAACCGACGTCCTTGGAGATGTGCTTGGAGATGAAGGCCGGATATTTTTTTAATAATACACATTGTTGCACATAAGTGTGCTGGAGAAATGTTCATTTCTGCATAAACTAGATTGTGTCTAATTGACATGTGTTCTCGATGACATTTTCCCATGGTGTAACAGATTTGGTTGATTGTTTGTTTTACTTAAAGTGGTGAAATTATCTTTGCTTAAACACCAGTAATGTTATTTTTCCTGAAATGCCTGTATTTATTATACCAGCATCAGATGTTAAACATGCGAATTGAGAAAGAGATGTGGTGTTCGTCTCATTTGAAAGCACATTTGACTTTAGAGAAAATTTACCCAATCACACTTGGAATGGGTGGACAATTAGTTAGAGCAGTGGTTACTAGAGGTGAGCAAAACCTGGTCGAAATTGAAAAACCGAGCCAAAAAGATGTATTTGGTGCCTGTATTTATTATACCAGCATCAGATGTTAAACATGCGAATTGAGAAAGAGATGTGGTGTTCGTCTCATTTGAAAGCACATTTGACTTTAGAGAAAATTTACCCAATCACACTTGGAATGGGTGGACAATTAGTTAGAGCAGTGGTTACTAGAGGTGAGCAAAACCTGGTCGAAATTGAAAAACCGAGCCAAAAAGATGTATTTGGTGCAGTTCGGTCCGGTTTCTAGAGAGTTCGATTTGTGATGCAATTTGGATTTTGAAAATCTGCAAAAGAAAATTCGGTGCGGTTCGTTTTTGGTCGAAGGGTACGATTTTAACATACAGAGCACACACGGTTTTGTTTTTGGCTAATAAGTAGAGTCATTGCATTTCTATTGTATGCCAACCCCAGTTTTCAGACCTCACGCCTCAGCCCGTAGATCTTGCTGGTCTCTCTCACTTTCACCTTCTGTGAAATCGAACAACGCGGCAATTTCGGAGAGGAGCGAGGTTTCCGATGCGGCCAGTCTCGGTAGGAGCTTTGGGTTCTCCAAGTTTATATATATATATTTACTTGTGCTGTTGTAATAATGAAGATATAATCTACAATTTTTGTCTCTAAATTAGTATTGTTGTTTATCAATTTCACTTGAGCATTTAATACTTGTAATATGCAAGGATGGGTTTTGATTAGAATGTGGGTTCTGTTACATTCAGTTGTAGCTTGCTAAGGTGTGTTTGTTGAAGGAATAATTTGAGTGAACTAATTAACTCAAAGTGAATATTTTTGAGTTAATTAGGGTTAATTTAGAAAAAGTGGTGTAGTTAGTTGTTAGTGAGATTTTGAGTTTATATTAAAATAATATTAAAAATTAAATAATTAAAATTAGTTTGATGTAAAAGTAGGAGAGAGATAATATGATGTGATAGTTAGTTAAAATTATGTAAGTTGATGAATAGTGAATTAAAGTTGATATGATGTGTAAAAATAATTTATTGTTATTATTTAATGATTGGTTGTTGTTGTTTAATTATTGATAATATCGAGAATAGTGGGGTTGAGTTAAAATTGAGTTAAATTTTGAGTAGAATTGATTTGGTTTGGGTATATTCTTTAACAAACACACCAATGTCTAAAAGTATCCCAACTAGGTAAATTAAGTAAATGATGATTTTTTATTAAAAACGATTTTGAGCTAAACAAGTTGAAATGAGTGACCTTACCAGAAAAACTGTATTTTGTAACGAAAATAATAAAGTCAACTGTTTATTTGCGGTTAACCGCACCAAAACCGCACTGAACCGAAGATTTCGGTGCGGTTGTGGTTCGTTTTTTTCTCTAAACTCAAGGTTCTGGGCTACGAATTCCTTCCTTGGTCCCTTCCTTCGCTAGCCCTGTTCCTAAACCTATTCCTTGCATACGAGCGCAAGTACCCGCGTAGGACCAAGAAAGCCCCTAAAGATTAGGCCAAGGAAGGAGTGGGTTTGGAAGGAGTCCTACTTGTTACACTCCCCCGTGGGTCGAGTTAGTAAAGCATCCAAAGCCGCTGTCAGCCATCAATCCGGCTCGAGCACAACATGCGATTTCCAGGTGTGGAATGTGCAGTTCGATTTATACATTTGAACATTTTTTGTTTTTAGGATTTTGCGGTTCGGTGAAGTTTGCACCGAACCGCACCAATGCTCACCTCTAAAGGGTACTATTGGAAAAGTGGGGAAATTGGACACATTAAAAATTTAAAATTACCTTGAGGTCCATTTGAAATGCAAAAACTGCTCAGTGTTGTAAATTGGAGTCCTCAATATTCACCAAGCATCCATCAATCAAACAAGCATAAAAGATGTGCAGTAAAGAACAAGAAAAAGAGAAGCAAAAAAGTCTATAATCTTATTCATCGGTATAATCACCCTTTTATAGGGTTTACAAGAGGGAAGCCCTACAACCTAATTTTTCTATCTAATGGACTTCAGACCCAATTATATATTAGTAATGTCCATATTACTGTATTTATAACACTCCCCCTTGGACATTACTACATGCCTCATTAAAAACCTTGCTAATAAAAACCCGACAGGGAAAAAGATTAGTCAAGGGAAAAAGAGTACATGGTTTATAAAAATTCATGTGTTTTACTAGCTGCCTCGTTAAAAACCTTTAACTAATAAACCCATTGGGAAAAACTTAGTTAAATAAAAAAAGAGTGCAGTATTTGGTCTTCAGGACCTAATCTTCGGGATTATATTGAGTTTTTCCCTCCCCCTGAAGACAACAGTTTTCCCAGTTTATGCATACCAATACCATAAATGTATTTTTCAAAAGTAGATGTAGGAAGGGATTTGGTGAATAGGTCTTCCAAGTTCTCGCTAGACCTCACTTTTTGTATAATAATCTCACCGCTTTTCTGGAGCTCGTGTGGGTAAAAGAATTTTGGAGCAATATGTTTTGTCATGCTTCATTTGACATACCCACTACTCATTTGTAAAACACAAGCTGCATTGTCCTCATAAAGGACAGTGGGGGTTATATCATTTGTAATTCCACATGATCCACGAATATGTTGGATTAAATCTTAACCCTAGGTAGTGCTGTGTTGCACAATCTACATAGGTATAAATTACATTTACAAGAAGAGTACAAAGTCAAATAAAAATAAATATTCGATTTACATTGCTCAAGTAGTATTGTATGTTGTAGAATCTACATAGGTATAAAACTACATCTAAAAAATATTGTACATATATTTCGCATATAAAAAATATAAGCATTTAAGTCAAACACAATAAATACTATTAGATATTGAATCTAAACAAGTACATTAAAGCATTGTTCCTAACATGTATGTAATTTAAACGTGCTACATGTCTATTGAACAATAATACCCATAAACTAATATGATTTAAACTATCAAAATAGGATGATATACGTTATTATTTTAATTTATAACATTTACTTTGACAAATATATATAAGATGATATACGTCATTAATTTAATTTATAACATTTAGTTTGATATATATATATATAT